TATATATATATATATATATATATATATATATATATAAATATATATATATATATATATATATATATATATATATATATATACACCCCATAATTATATTGATTACATTTGAATATTGATATATGTAAATATTTTTGAAACATGCACTGCAAAAAATGATTTTCTTACTTGAGATTTTTTGTCTTTTTTCTAGTCCAAATACCTAAATCATAAATCAGGAGTTTTCTAGACAAGCAAAACATATTGTCCTGTTTTGAGAAATAATATGCCAAAATTAAGTGAGTTTTTCCTTAAAATAATCTGCCAATGGTGTCAGCTAAAAAATCTTATGTCTAAAGGAAAAACAAGATTATTTTGCTCACTCCATTGGCAGGTTATTTAGCTTGTTTTAAGGAAAAAACTCACTTCGTATCCAAGTAAGAAAAGCATTTTTTGCAGTTGCACATGGCTATATTGTAAAATCCAAATATGAAGTTGAATGTCATGTATTCCAGCATGTCTGCTTTTGATAACCGCTGTATGGACGGTGTACTTTCTCCAAAGTGAAAATTTTCCGCCAGAGTTCCTGTAAAAGCAGACTGTGATAGAGACAGCAGGACTCACTGAACCGTCACTCTCAGCCTCTGCTTGCAGACTGTGGGCGATTCACGGCCGAGAGCACAGATTCAGCCTCAGAAAATTACTGCGTCCACAAAAACAATGAGAAGTGGCAGAAAATGTGGAGAATCTGTCAGCTTCTTTATGTTTGTAAAGCCGCATCGTGACAGGTTTTCAGGAGGAAGGAGACGCTCTCATTGACACTGCTGTTTCTGCTGCTGCTAATTGGCCTTTTTAAGCTTTTTTAATAAATGTGCGTTCAGTTTTAACATAAAGGAAATATGCGTCTGCTGTTTTAGCACATGGAGACTGTCTGTTGTTGACTAAGGTTTAGAGCAGTGGTGTCCAAACTCGATCCTGGAGGGCCGGTGTCCTGGAGAGTTTAGCTCCAACCCTAATCAAACAAACCTGAAGCAGCTAATCAAGCTCCTACAAGATACACTAGAAACTTCCAGATGTGTTGAAGCAAGTTGGAGCTAAACTTTGCAGGATGCCGGCCCTCCATGACTGAGTTTGGACACCCCTGGTTTAGAGCCTCAAAAAACACAAATCAATAAATGAATTAATAAATTAAATTGACATTAAAAATGCAAAAAAATCATAATAATTAAGAATAAAATGTAAAGTACAAAAAAAAAGAGTAATTTAAATTCTGATAGTCAAATTTCTTCAATTAAAAAGTCAGAAATATGAAATAAAAATCAATATTAGATTCAATTAAGACCAAATCAGGTCATTAGAAAAAGTAAAGTATTTGAGATATTAGAATGAGAGATTAAAATTGTTTTTACAGTCAAAATTCTGGCTTAAAATCAAGACAAACTTAAAATATGTTATTCACGATTTTAAAACGTAAATTTCTGGGATTGAAAAATCTACATTATGAAGCAAATTCATTATTAGACTTAAAAATAACAAAAATAATTTTTGCAAAAGTAAAATATTTGAGAAGAAAAACTCAGATTAAAGTCAAAATGATGACCAACTGTTAATCTTAAATAATGACAGAAGGGAACAAAAAATCTAATTTATAAGTGTCAGATT